CTGTTGGCCTTTTAACCCATGCCACTACAGATAAAGACTCTATTCACTTCATGCCAGTAACCAAAACAAATCCATCTCCTGGACACCAATATTTGTTTGAACAAATTAATGTTGGCATCATGTTGAGGTTTCAAATGTACTTCCTGATCTCTTTGCCGTTCATGTCACACAGGGATATAATGTGTTTTTAGGTTTTGTCCCAAATCCATCCCAATGTGTGCTACTGTTTAGCTCTTAAATCAGCAGGAGCTCTGGGCTTTCAGAACTGTTCAAAGCTTCATTCATCTTAATGAAACATGGGGAGAAAAAGTGTTTAGTCAGACGCTGATTGTGAAAGTTCTCTTACTAAGAACGATGGGAGAGGTCGTAGTTTTCCTCAGTGGTATACTTTAATTATTAGAGGCAACAAGAGAAAAAAAAAAACTTTATCACTTTGTAGAAATGAAAATTACAGTGAAAATAACAGAAGTTGAACTCAATATTTTGTAGCACTGACAGAAGCCAAACATTTCCTGTTAATCTTCACCAGGTTTGCACACACTGTTTTGGCCTGTTCCTCCATGCAGATCTCATTTTAGGGCTTTCAACTCCGTCCACAATGTTCTTTTTTTCGGGATTGTGGTCTTGAAGGAGCAGTTTTAGAGCCACTCCTTCATGTTTGGATCCATCGTCCTGCTGATAGGCCCATGTGCAGTACTCCATGATGGAAGGAGATTTTGTGTTCAAATGGTAAATGGCTTTTTTAAGTCAGGAGACTTCAAAGCTTTACACTACATTCAGTCATTCACCCATTCACACACACACACTGATGGTGGCAAGCTACATTCTAGCCACAGACACAAGTGAGGTCCCTCTGACCACCATCAGTAGGCAATGCAGGTGAATTGTCTTGCCCAAAGACACAGCGACACTGAATTGCCTGGGCTTTAACCTTTCAGGGCAACCTCCTACACCCAACGCCACATTGTTCGTTCCGACGAGCTTCAAGGAGTTAGTGCCGTATAATTCTGTTTCCTCTCACTATATGATATTCTCCCATTCCTCTTCTGGATCATCCATATGCTCTAAGCGTTGTGTGTAACCGATGGTAACCTTTGTTACTTTGCACAGTCGTTTCCTCCATTTCTGCAGCTTGATGCCATAAATGAAGTTATATTTGCTTTGAGTCTGCCCTTTCCATTTATTTATGATCTGCCGTTATGGCAGAATTGCTTTTTTTTTTTATATCTCATAGATTTTATTACTGATTTAGGTGCTCAGCTGCGTTTTCAACTGGATGAAGCTACAGAAAATATTTACCTTTTTCTGGAAATAGAAAGTACTCTGATAAAAGTTCCCTCCAATTAAAAGGTAGTTGTTTCTTTCCACTGTTTTCCTATGCTTTATTATGAAATATGGCTGCAAAATGACACTTTGCTTCATTAAATAAATTAAGTGGAAGATTGAAGTTAAATTCAGTGAATTTGATTCCAACTAGAGCGCAGTGTAAACGGACAAACAGCTGCTCTTTTGATACATTTTAATAAAGAAATACTTTTAATTAAAAAGGTTTTAAAAATAAATTTGCTTTAATGCTGTCCATCAACTTAGAAGAGAAGCTGGAGTGAGAAGAACGAAGCCCAGGCTGCTCAGTGTTGAAAAAACAGGAAACTTTATTGTGTAAGATGGTTGAACTAATGAAATATCAGTTCATCCTCATTTCTGCTTGAAACCAGAGATGACAGAAACATAGTTGGAGACGACGGCAAATCCAAAGTTGAAAAAAGAAAAAAAAAGAAAAGACAAAATAAAAACACATAACCTAATTCAACATATAATCAATAAAGGGGAAATATTGACATTGAATACAGAAGAAGTGTAAATATAAACCATTTTTTATTTTTTTTAATATATCTATATATTCTTTACATTGGATTACATCTACATAACTGAAATAGGAACAAAAACAGACTTCAGTGAAAGCCATAGCTCTATACCAGTGAAACATGATCTGCCCTTAATGTTTAAAGATAATTGCATGTATTTTATACAAAATAGACGGTGACAAGCAATCTGAGGGTAGTGCAATTTTGTCAGGCTCTGGAAAATGTACTTTCACATGGAGATTAAGCTTTTCCTGTTTTTTTTTTTTTGTTTTGTTTCGTTTTTTTCTTAAATGACCAGTGAATCCTTATAGTAATATATATGAAATCCAAAGCCAAGGTCATCTACATAATAGGCAAATTCGAAATAAAACTAGAAGTGCTAAGAAGTAAGCCCATATGTGCTACACAAGTTGAAACTGCTCAATTACTTCAGTTTAGTAAATTTTTATTTATTTTTTTTACCCCCTCTGCTTTAGTCACTGTTTTTTTTTTAGCGCAAAATAAAATATTAGAACTAAATCTCGCTCTAACGGCGACCTGCCTTTCCTTTTCTTTATTTCCTTTTGTCTTAAAAGGTAAACAGTGACCACTCTTGTAGACTTGTCCACAGACTCGTAGAATGAACATTTACTTCACAAGACAAACATGTTTAACACTTCCTAACGAATTAATCACGTCTACCTTTTATCAAACACAAACTGACGAAAACAAAATTACTTTTCGACTTATTTAATGTACAAAAATGATTGAGTAAAATTAGTCATATCAAAGAGGATAAGATGATGAATTTAAAAATCACACAAAACCTTTTTTTTTTTTTTTTTTTAAACAGATCAATCTCCAAAAGCACTGGTAGTCGTCTATTTCCTGATTTAAAATTGTATTTCTATGGCTCTCCGTCTCCCTTATGCAAGGCCTTTAGTCGAACTGAAAGGAATAAGAAAGTGGGGAGGACTGACAAACATGTAAAAATATTGTTTTTGTTTTTTTTTATAACAGACACTTGTTTGCATTGCACTGGATATGTCAGCATTGCTTATATACATCTATAGGCATTTAAGGAGTGGGGGGGACAGAAGCAGTGGCGAGGGTGTTTTACGCCTGTACGTTAAAGCTGGCTTCCAGAAACGCCGCTGCCTGAATGCGAATGTAATACTGTACGCAAAGCCACCCGACACCACAGGATCCAGACCCAATCCTCGGCAGATTGATCAACACGCCGGGATAAAAGCAGACTCGCAATAAGCTAAAGCTCAAGAGCCTGCGCACCACAACAATCATCCAGAAGGATTGGCAAACTTCAAAGCTAAAGAAAATATGGCTCTTGATTGAGGATTGCTGCTTTTTTTTTTTACTTTTTTATTTCTGTGCAGTTAAGCAAACAACTGAAAATCCAGATATAAAGTCCTGGGCTCTTACACGGAAATTCACAAATATATCACATTTTTCCACGCTGAGCTTTCCCTGTCCTTTACTTTTATCTTAAAATATAAAATCTTAATATTCTCTTTGATTTTAGAACTGTTATTTTAACTTTGGGCAGAACCAACATAGGGAAAGAAAGGAGGTAGGAGACAAAAAAAAAAAAGAGAGAGGGAAGGAATCCAAGGCACATAGAGCGGAAGGAGGTAGGAGACTACAGAAGGAAACCAAGGAAGGAAAGACAAACGTAGGAGGACACAAGAAACGACAAACTTTAGAACCATTTGAAAGAGATAGGATTCGGAAAATACAAAATATTTTACTTTTTCTATTCTTTTTTTGACTCTGTAGGAACCCTGAAAGTAGAAAAGCGGACTCTAGAGCAGGGAGGTGAACGGTGTTGCACTTTGCACTCAGCAGAAGCCGATGAAAACCTGAACACTAGATTTGGCCACTATGTAAGCTGGTATGAAGGCTTTATACACATTAAAAACTGTAGCAACATCACAATCTAAAAAAAAAAAAAACAACCCAAAAACATTTCGTTAACAATCGATCATTGTAAGCTGGTGTTATGTGAGACACTGAAGACTGAGCACCCTGAAGCTAAGTTATAAACCACCGCTGTACACCACCCTTCACATATGCAGGATATTAGAGGAAAAAAGAACTGATAAAAAAAAACTTTTGTGATATTTGGCACTAGTGGGACTATAATAAAAGATGTAAGGAGACATTACCTGAAGAATAAGCAAATTATGTGGATTTAAATGCAGCTTCTTGCATTTAAAATGGACGGGCTTCATAATAATCCCTGTTTCTTTGTGTATGCAGAGTATGAAACAAATTAAATATATATCTATATATATATTAGAGATCCATCGTCACATAATTTTAAGAAACATCCTGTTTTCTTGTCTTGGAAAATTAAAGATTTTACTATTAGTTAATAAAAACCAAAAGATTTTATGCACTTTGGGTTAAATCAAATTCAGATGAAGCTGAAATATGTTATGAAGAGAAAAAGTTGGGTTGATTTTGTAATTCCTAAAATGTTTTTTAAACTACTTCCTGTATTAAAAAGCACTTTCTGTTATTGTGTTCATCATCTAAAATATGAATTGATCCAAGAAGTGTGGGACCCTGCAGAAAAACTGGACTTTCAAGATAAACCAGAGAAAGTTTTTAAGTTATCGTCACCATTTTTAAAATTCGGTGAAGCTGGCAGAGAAAGGACCCGGACCCGTCACGCCAGATTGATTTAAAATATTACAAATAATATTGAGCGCGATTAGAAAATGGATATTTGGACGTTTTTCAATCTCAATTTGATCCATATTTGTAAAAATCACGATAAAGAAATTACAAACGTTTCCAAACCTTCAGAATTTGACAGGAATTTCTAATCTTCCTCAGTTTAAATAAAAAAAAAAAATACTTTGATTTACTTCCAAATTCTAGATTATAGTGGCTGCTTCTCTGATGCAGTTAAAGGAGAACACTATAGGTTCACTTTTCTAAAGAAGAAAAACAGTATATTCTACTGTAATATACTAGTTCATTAAACGTTTAAAGACCTGAACATGAAGATGATAATTCAAGCTGCCGGGATGACTTTGTTCTGCACACTTTTGAAGGGGTGGGGGATTCCTCTAAACAATAAAATTAAAAGAAAACTTTAATTTTAAAGAGAAAACAAAAGAAGCAAACTAAAACCAGGCGATAAATGCGAAGGAACAGAACAACAGACTGGTCTGTAACGGATGGCTGCGAGAATGAAAACTAAAAGGCACTGGTTTTCCCTCAGATACATCCTGTGTAAACATGTGTAGCTCGCGCTGAACGTGGCGTCTGCTGAACTCTGAAAGCGTGATCTGCGATGTGCATCTGCGTTAAAAAAAACAAAAAAAAAACATGAAGACGGATCCACAAGCTGCTCCGTTTTCCTTTTTCTTCCACTGATCGGGTAAATAGGTCCAGTTCGGGTCCGTTTTTGCTTTTCGTCCTTGAATCCAGAAGAAGTGAGGTTCTTTTGCATCAAAGCTTCAATCTGTCCCCTTCGTCTCTAGACTGTGAGCGACATTCACAGCGCGGAGAAGCAGAGCAAGGCCGGCAAGTTAAAATGATTTCAGCGATGTAGAGAGTAGGACTTTAAAAAGAATAAATGTCTGAGTTCAAGAGGTGAGGGATTGAGGAAAACGGACAGATGCTTTAAAAACATTCAATTTGCTTCTGTGCAGACAGACTGGGGTGGCGACTATGAGGCTATGGGTAATTTCTGAGATTAGACTAAACAGGCAAGGGATGAAGGGATGAAGCTGACTTTCCAAAAATGAAAACAAACACCAAAGAACGGACAAGAATATTGGGGGGGCGGAATAAAGAATTAGAGCAGAAGGGCCTGAAGCAGGTTGGGGATTTAAGGCATTGATTCACATTTCAAGGCCGTCATTTCTGATGAAACAGCAGAGGTTTGACGCTCCCGTCTTTGAATTTTGGTATCTGGTTGGTGATGATCTCCGTCAGCATCTCGGGGAATTCCACACTGAGGGTCTTATTCACGAAGGTGTAGAAGCAAATCTGCAGGAGACCCTCCACCATCTGGAACGAGACAGTTTAAAAAGATGAGAGGCGGATTTCGGAAAGATGGATCATTTTCAAAGCATCTGCAGCTCATCACAAGTAATTAACATGACTTCAGAGGAGCTATAAAGTGTTTAAAGAGATTTAAATGGAACATAAAAGCACCCATTTAAAAAAAAAGAGGAAATCTGTCAAGAATATGAAAAAAAATGATTGTTCCAACCTATAAAATACAACTGAATTGAATAATATTACAAGCTGAGAAAATGTTTCTCCACCAATTTTCTACCACAAAGAATTTCCTATTAATTACCCTAATCCTAAAACTATTAGAGAGCACTTCCTCATTTAAATAAAAAGGATTAAAGTGACATTTATTACCGGCAAGTAAATGCTTCTCATTAGGAATTTTTAGCCTGCTAAAAGCGAACCTGATGCTATGGAAAAATATCAGTCCCCTCACAAATGTTTTTATTTATTGTTAAGCTGTTTTTTTTAGCTGCAGGTTAAACAGTTTGGGCTCCTCTTTCCTCCATTAAAGACATTTCATCCCAGCACTGCTAGTCCAAAGCGCGTAAGATTATCAATTTTATTATCATCCCAAAAACAAAACAGATTTATAAGACAGGATTTTTTTTTAAATAGAAATTTTCTACATTTTGGGAAAATAAAGTCTGGTAAAGATTACATTTATATCCATGTTTAAGCCAGAATGATTTTAAAATTAAATACGATTTCCCTACGACACCTTAAGCATATAAATGATTCTTTTTTAATATTTAGTGTTTATGTTTCCTCAATTATTATTTATTCACATTTCAAATTGGATGACATGAGTTTACTAATATTGTCCCTGTTTTAAATTGAATTTCAATTTGAAGCTAAACAGGAAATATTTAATGTCCTTTTTTTATTCTATTCAAACAAATATGTAGGAAATAGGCTGGCAGGAAATGCATCTCTAGGAGACAACTTTCACATCCTCTGTTTCTAGTTGATCTCAGTAGGAAAAATCCTGTAAAGTTGTGCCGATGTTACCATTTGTGCATCACTAACCTCCTGCATGGAGTCCAGTAGCTTAGTTAGCTGGTAGAATCGCTGCCAGTTCTGACTTGTGTTCTCCTCTCGTTTCACGATGGCTTTTCCCAGCTCCTTGATGTAAGTCATCCTGATCTGATCAAAAACCGCCTGGCACTTCAGGCCTTCTTTGGGTACTGCACAAACGGGACAAGAAAAACACAGCGATGAATGAGGGTGTAGCTTAGGAGGAAAACTAAAACAACCTGAAGATAAAACAAAACTTCGTAAAACCTTTTTGTTTTGCTAAAAGTACTCCCATTCTGAGGAGGCAGAATAAAAACCCAGCAGTTTGTCCAGTAAATTCAATTATTTTTATTTTTTTAAAGAAAGAAACCACATTTCTATGTTTTATATCATTTTATAATGACACTTTTTTCCTTTGATAGAAAATTAGATATTTATAATATTATAAAGGGTTAAGGGATAAAAGTATATTGTATATAAATGTTAATAGAAATATGATGCCAGAAACTATTTAAGCCCTTTTAAATATTGATTAAAATGAAATCTTAAAAATATCTAATATTAGTCCTTACTGGCATTAGAGTAATCAAACCCTTTTCATAACAGTTTGGGTTCTTATCTGGTTCAGTTAGTCTGCATGCCAAAAAAAAAAAACATCTCTTTTTGCAGGTGATGAAGATAGAAGGCGTTTTAACATTGTCTTTCTTTTATCTTCTATTTCTTTAATCTTTTCCTGTTTTTCCTGTTCTACCTACATTGCAGTGTCCATATAATCTGTAAAACTCCCTGTATGAATTATAATAATGTTATTTATATCCATAAATCAAGCGGAACTCTATGGCGATAGCCGTACTGCTCCACTTGTGAAAGCAAAATCTGTTGGGCTCTCTTTGTAGCATCAAGACAATTATTTTTATTGCCACATTGCTAGACACAATAAAAAAAAAAAAAAAAGAAGAGTCCTCGTACCATAGAGACTGGAGCGCCTTCACTGTAATCTACAGCTTTCCATAGATTCAATAAAAACTTTATAACTTCTTCTGTAAGAATATTCTGGGGTAGAAATGGCAGTGGGATTTTTCCTTGGTTGTATGAAGAAATAAATCCTGTTACCCCTCCCCCACATATTTATAGGTACATTTGTCTGAAATAGGCTATTAGTGTAGTGATATTGTGAGTGAGATTGTCACTACTTGATCTCATTTGCACATGTGCAAGCAGATATTCATCCAGGTCGCCATAAATAATGTAATAGTGGTATTAAAAGTACTTATTTTTATCTTTAAATCACTAAAGAATGCTCATTTAAATCTTTAAAACATCTTTTTTATGACTTTCTGAGACAATTTGATGCTTTTTACATTTTCTGTGTTACACAGCTTGTCTGACGTCATCATCGGACATGCTCAGAGTATAACGGTTTAATCAAAATATGATTAAACCATGTTTGCATTTTAGTTGTTTCTTTCCTTAGATTATGAACTACATGCTATAATATTAACACGAAAGGAAAACATAAAACTCAAAAAGACTAAATTTATGTTTAAATCCAAAGCCAAAAACTTTAGCTCCCGGGAGTAGCGTATGATCCCATTTCCGGTGCAGACAAGTGACAAAACAGAAATGGTTTTAAGGCATTTATTTTCTCAGGAAATACATTAGTAACTTTTAACCCATTATAGTTTAATGAGCTTACTATTTTTAAAGGAGGTTAAAACATAATTTAGGTATCGGGTAGTGACAGTGATAACCTTCTGTTTGAAGGCTTGTTGCTAGGGCAGCTAGCCTGGCTACTAGCTGTCAAGCTAAAATAAAACTATTTAACATTACTTTGCAAGGGCCTGAATAAATACAAAAAACATGAATAAACAAGAAAATATCTCTGGAAATTCAACTTTCAGATATTTATCCTAGTTTTTTCCACTGTCTCTTCCTACTACTGCCATTTAATACAGCAGGTTAACATTTCTAAAATCCCTGTTCTAAAGGAACGTCATTTTTTATATAAGATTAATAGTAAAGTTTGTTATTTAATATTTATAAGGGCATGAAAAACAGAAATCAATTGATCTGGTATGCAAGTAACCTGTGTCTGTACAAATGGAGACAGGTTTTTGCAGAAAATATTAAAAGCTTTTTATTTCAACTATTAATGGCATCACAAGTTAAAAAGTCTCTTTTTGTAGTATAAAGGTTTACTTTTACAAACTTAAAGTAAACGGTACTCAGACTCTAAAGCGGCGCTCTGGGACTCATTCAGTAATGGATCCGACCCTCTAAAGTTACAAAGGCAAGTTTAGTGAGATGACGCTAAGCACCGGCAGCTTGCTTAAATAACAAAACCTCAAAAGGAATATGCAGACAGGTTTGAAACGTCTTTTAAAAACAGCAAGGGAGTCACCGTGTTGGAAGCAGGTTAGCAGCTACCCAGAAAAAGAGGAGACAGAGAAGGGGATGAAAGACCTGAGGGAGCGGGAGAGCTTGTGAATGTAGAGGAGCTGGGACAGGTACAGTGTGATAGGGCAATAATAGTCCTGTAAAATGATGAGAGGTAGTTTAAATTGGACAGTATTCAGGGAGTTCAGTGCAGCTGTTTCAAAATAGACTAATGAGGGAAAAAAGAAGGGATTAGAGACTGACCCTAGCAGCAGAGTTCTGAACCAAAGGAGGACGGATGGAGTCAGTTCATGGAGCGAAGGTGGAAAAATGTGGCAAAACTTTTTAGTTTAAACTCTAACAAAGGATTCTTACTTTCTTATTATTGAAGCTTTTATTTTGACTGGCTGGTTTCCAGTGAGAGACGATCCAGGTGAAATATGCAAACCGACTGGTGCATCCTTAATTATAACAGCAACCCTAATTTAACCTGCAATGACACGTTTACTAATGTAACTGCATAGCATCGTAGGGCATGGCTATCTTGTGCAGTTTGCTCTAAAGAACCGGGAAAGCTGTAAAGCTAACATCTTATGAGCTTCATTTTACAGCTTCCTTTATAAGCTGCCAGTATAGTGCACCATGCAAAGAGAATAAACTCCATCAGCCTTTCTTTTCCTGTTGAATGATGAAATTCCAGCTTAGGGTTTAATATAACAGTGTGAATAATTCAACAAAGTCCTTGTCTGTTTGCAGAGAGGCAAAAAGCCAATAAAAAGCAACAGGCACCTGCAGAGATTATGGGAAGAGGAGCTTACCGGCTGATTTACATAATCACACATATCAGAGACGCCGAGGCGCTATCTGGACTTTTACATGAACTGGTCTGAAACACAAAGGCAGATTTGTTCTGATCTCTGCCTATTTTAGGATCATTTTGTATTGGGCAACAAAATTGTTGATATTATTTTGGCATTATGCAAAAGGCTGAAAAATGTATAATTCATCACATTAAAATCTTAATAAGTGATCTATGCATTAAGTTCAGTCAAGCAGTGGATAATTTTATTGGTGAATAAATAAAGCCCTTCTAAAGGCGTAGATCAGAAATGTCAGGGTGAAGTTGTGAGCAGATTAAAGCAGGTTCTGGTAATAAATCAGCATACCTGGACATGAGAACAATGTATAACAAAGATGTAGCCTTCCTCATCAAGCCAGGCAAAGAGAGCGGGCTAACAATCCACTGTCAAGAATATAACCAGCAGCAGCTAAGAGAAAGTAAACTCGGTTAAGTCTTTTTGGGAAAGGGTGACTTTTAATCTATTAGAGATTCCATTACAACCAAGTTTGTTGTTACTCAATGACAACTCACAGTTTAAATGTACAGAGAAACAGCGAAAAGTGTTGCTCGCAGGCCTAACAGCAGCAAAAAAAAACTAATTGTTCAGAGATGGCTGCCCCCACACAGGCTTCCTATTAAAAATGGCTGTTATACTTTCAAGATGTTATAATGATGGAACTGTATACTGCAAGAATCCATACGGTAAGACTGTCAACCATACAAATGTGGGAAAAAACTGCAAAGGGAGTTTCAGGTGAATCACACAGAATGAGATGTCTGACATGCTTTGTCCTTTTTTATTTTTATGTATTTCTTTATTTTTTTATGTGTATTGGGTCATGTGATTTGTAGCTAAGGTTGGAGTGGGGCGGGTGGGTATTGATCACTGATAGGGATGCACGACATAATCGGCCCCCTATCGGTATCGGCCTTAAAACTGAATATCGGACATCGGCCACCCCCCCGATAT